CCCTTTTGTAGGTCTCAGACTTAATCTATGCTCGAAAAGTGTTCAAAATAGCAAAGAAATTGTAGAAAATGTGAGTTCCCATCATTTTTTATTCTTTTCTTTCCTTACAATACAACTCAAGCCCAACTGATGAATATAACACTAACGAGAGGTGATTTAAAACTATTAATTATTAGACATTGTAAATAACTCACCGGTCGCTGATTTTCCAGGGCTTCCATTTCGCCAAAAATCCGATTACATATCCATTCATTTCCAAATCATTTACCATTTATGTGAAGGTGAATTAATCAACATGACACGAGCGTGGGACAAAGAAAAATTCTGAGTCCCCGACAGGAATCGAACCCATGACCTCCCGACCACCGGGCGGGCGCTCTATCCACTGAGCTACGAGAACTCTTGGAGAGCGAGGTCATTTAACTGAGTTCATATATGCCAGGCGTCCTGCATACTGCTAGGATCAGCGCTATCGAAAAATACGATCAAAGACCAGGATTTAAAAAAAAAAAGATCAAAAGCCTACCAAATGGGGTCGGCTAGGCAAGCTTGTTATTTGTTGCTAACGGAAGTATTCTTTCAAAGCCTCCAGAAATTCTCTTGAATGGACATGACACGTAAAATGTTATGTATACTTGCACCTTTTTTTGCAGATTCTGACGTAAGGAGGACTTGAAATTGAACTGTAAGCTTGAGTGTTTGTCCAATGCTTAATTAATAGATGTTTTCAACATGAAACAATAAGGTTTCATTAACTAGTGTTATCTAAAATAACTATTATGCATTCCAAGAATCGATTTAAAGTAGATATTTCAGTGAAGTTTGGATTGAACTCGCCGAAAGTCTAAGCAAAGTGATATTTTTCCCTAAGCAATTGGCGGAAAATATTTCAAACTACACCGATTTCGTTTTGAATAAACTGGATATTGACAAAATAATTCAATTCCTTGGTGGACGATATGTTGCTATCCCTGACTTTTTTTAGCGGTTATTTCAAAAGAAACGATTGTCACAAATGCACTGACCTTGAAGGTCAATTTTATGCCAGCGTACTTTACTTTCAAGAACTAAACCATTCTAATCTAGAAAGTGAAAACTCTTTCAGGTTTATCTTACGTTAAAACCTATTATTATTATGACGAATTTCCAGTTTTTCTCGTCCATTGAAAATTTTTACATTTGGGAAACAGGGCAGGGGTACAAACAACGTGCGGCCATACGCCTTGACGAAATGTGCTTAATTTTTCACCTTGGCAGCCTTAAGGTGGCCGAACACAGTTTTCAAGAGCCTATGCCTAATTCACCATAACTTTTAAGATATTTATGCTTTGGCGCCCGTTTTTTGCAAGAGTCAGGGTTAACCACAGAAAAGTTTATTCTCGCATTTTGGCTGAGGTGTGTGCTGTTGCCATGGCAACGGGGCTG